GAAAGTTTCATAGATCTTGCTGACAGAGTTGAGGAGGGAGAAAGCTGAATGTGTCAGTTTTGGGTTTGCTACTTTTGGCGATTGGACATACTATGACCTTCTTCCATGGCTGGATGAAGCAACCAGTGTTGTACGCATAGTTGAAAAGCATATCGCACTTAAAGTAGAGAGGCGAGAAATGCCGCATGGCGTAGAAATACACGCAGTTAGTGTCAGATGTCTTTTTGGGCGCCTTGACCCGGAGCTTATCGGAGAGCTTGGAAAGAGTGAAAATCCTTGGGTGTCTTCAACATTGATGCAGCGAGCAAGGAACTGCGGAATGACAATGCTTTCATTAAATGCGTCCAAAAGCCTATGGACAACGGCATTCGTACTGGAGTAATAAATTAATATACATACAAATAAAGTGCCTTAAAATACTTGCCAAAATATTGTGATTAATAGCGGTAAATAAAAGTAAAAGGCCAAGAAGTCTTTAGATGCATGTAAGATTTCATGAAATATTTTTTTTGAATATGTAGATATAACTATCAAATATTTTTGCAGGAAAGATACAGCAAGTTTTGATGTTCCTAGTTACACAGCAAATTTTTTCAAGGAAAGTTTCCGTATGAATTGCCAATGCTTCAATATCATATGCAACAACGTTAGAGGTATTGGTCGAAGTACCACCAGCTTCAGACAGCGCAAACCACTGAAGGAGCGGGTCGCAATTGCACTATACACTGATTGCATTGACCTTGTGGTCGTCTGCTGAGTACAGCACAATTGCAATATATTACAACAACTATAAAGGATGGTTTTCTATGGTGCTTTTAGCGTTGGTGGATTACAGGTAAAATTTAAATACACATGTTTATAGATATATGATATTATTGTTATATATTGTTATATATATATTTTTTTTCAGATATAAATAAACGTCGGAGCGCCTAGCCGGCGCAACGACTCAAGAATTTAGGAAGTGTTATCGCTTCCTTTTAGAGATTCTTTAAAATAAATCTAAAAATATAAGTGGCATAAACGTTCCGGTTATGTGTATTGCAGCTTTCGCATTCAGGTTTTCCACCACAATTATGAAACAGTATCCATTTGTAATCACTAATGATGAATATAAGAAAACATTTGACTACCAACTATCAAAAGCAAGACGAGTGGTGGAAAATGCGTTCGGCCATATAAAAGCAAGGTTCAGGCGGGTAGATAACGATATGAGTAATGTTACATTAATAATTAAATATTGTTGTGTGCTGCAAAACATCCTTAACGAACGTAATGATGTTATTAATTCCAAGTGGCAACATATTCAAAAGGAAAATTAGATCAAAAACAACAAACCATAACCACAGCACGAAGACCTTTCCAATGACAACAATCCAAAAGCGGAGGAAATAAGAAGAGTAATAGCTGATTCTTTTGATAATTTTTATTTTTTAATTTGCATTTTTTTAATTAAGTATATATAAAATATTTACATTATTTACACATATTAACTGCACTTAAAACCACAACAGTGTTTTATATAAAATATTTACATTATTAACACATATTAACTACTTTTAAACTTTTTCTCTTTCTAAAAGGATAGCTCTTTCTCCTTGTTCGAGCATTTGCTTTTCGATTTTATTGCATTGATGCAGTTGCTACGTTAAGTGATTTTGCGCACAACTTTTTTTTTTGTTTTTCCTAGGAGTTTCTTTGCACAAATCACCAGATCCACTATCGATTGGAGATGACGAACAAAGCTTTCCGTCCGAATTATTCATTGATGAATGAACTGCAACAGACAAAATAGTTCAATTTATAAAACATTTTGTTAATACATACTTGTGAACACTAATATATACTTTCAAATTAAATTATTATTATTGTTTAATTTATAAAACAATTTGTTAATTGTACATTTTGTAAATACCATTAAAAATTATAGAAATAAAAACTTTACTTTAATTAACATAAGATATTGCAAATCGAAGTATAACCATACACCAATATATTTTCATATCATATCTGCACTCTCCTGAACATGGTTTTCAATGTTGAATCGCTTTAGTCCGCCAAGCATTTCGTTGACGTTATTGAAATGCCAGTTTGATGGCGGTCCGCCTGAATCTCCTGCTTTCTTTTTCTCATCTCTATATAATATATGAAATCAATAATTTATTTATTTAGTCCAAATTCAAACTTACCTATATTTATTTGTGAGGTTTTTTATTTTATGCCACACCTCCTCCCCAGTAAAATGGATATTGTGAGCACATTAAATCTGCTATTTCGGCATATATAGTGCCGAACATAAATATTGGCACAGCTAACAAATTGAACTTTAGCATTATTTTTATCCTGTTAATGATTTTTAATCAACAAACAATTTTTTTAGATAAAATGCTTAATATGCTTTTAAATTCATTTTATTTCATTTTATTTTCTCTCATATTTAATTTTTTAAAATTAAGAAACCAAAAAAAAAATTTATTTGGCTGAACAAAATTATTGGCACAGCTAATGCAAAAATTAATAAACAAATCAATAAAAAATGTTTTTGATAACAATTAATATTCAGTGTCCAAGCTTTTCTATTTAATAACAGCTACTATTTGATTTGGAATCGAAGAAATCAATTTATATGTGATTTTTAGCCAAATATTTTGCCACTCTTTAGCAGTGTCAACTTAATTCTACATTTGTTGTTATAATGGGCTTATTTGGACGTCTCACACAGGGGTATTTGACCAATTTAGGCGGCCAAAATTATTTTTGTGTGATTTTTAACTCAAAATGTAATGTAAAGCTACTTCATGACTTTTAAAGTTGCTAAAACAAAAAAATTAACAAAATAATCAATCATGTCTAAAAATAATATATTGTATTTGATAAAATGTTGCAAATGTATGGCAAGGTGTTCGCCTCAATTCAGAATTCGAATAGGATATTAATATAAATAAATATTATATATTATAATAGTAAAAATATGATTATAAATATTATTATAATAATAAAAAGTATTTCAGTTTCTTAATGTGACTTTTTGGCAAAACATATTCGTATACCTAACAAAAGTAAGCCGGACGGAACTGGATAGGACGGCAATAGCGTGGTGAAGAAGGAATTGGGTTGTGCCATATCAGTTTTTGAGTGTTTGATAATATTAGTTGCAATGGTACCAACGAACTTACCACCGAACGAAAAATATTCGTATCCAACTCATTGTCAAATTTTTGCTTATATTGGGATTGCTGTGATCCATCACAACCCCACTTACAAACGAGTGCTTAGTTTTTCAAATCATTCTGTTCTAATGATTTAATCACTTCTTCAAGGTATAGAATAGTCTTGTTGCTGTATGACCAAAAGATCTTGTAAATTGATTACGGCACAAGTAGCAGTGATTTTGTATGCTGAACCTAATAGATGACAGTATTTTTTGGCCTTTTGGATAAGAGTATAATATGATTAAAACTTTTTATTACTTTGTCTTAATATTTCATATTGCCTACGAGACAAGTTTGCTTCAATAAACATTGAAAGAGCCTCTAACGTTGACATGGTTTCTTTTTGACTTTCGTTGTAAGCTTGTTTATATTTATGAGCACGATTTGGTGAATTAGTAATTTCATTTAATTTGGTACAATTTCATTTGGGTAGCTGAAGTAATATACCCTAATGTGGATATATTCCTTTGTATATTATTATAAATTCAAGATATTCCTTCGTATGAATATATCCTGATGTAGATATATTCCTTGGTATATTATTATAAATTATTCACTTACAGTAGGCGTACTACAGCCGATCGTAGTGTAATAATTTAAATTCAATATATTCCTTCGTGTCAATATATTCTTATATGGATATATTGCTTTGTGTTTTAATTAAAAATTATTTCATTTGCAGTAGGCGTACTACAGCCGATCGCAATGTAATAATTTTAAATACAATATATTCCTTCATATTATAATAATAATATAATTTCTTTATATCGAAATTTTTCTATGTGCAACTAGTGCTAATTTCAACTTGTAATCCCCAGGTGTATGTGCCTTAGTAAATATTTTACAAGTCAACTCTATAAGAAAAATGCCCATCTTATATATGCACTCGACCGAGCTTTTTCGTAGCGTATCATTTTATTTACAGCTGATCTCATGTAATTCTTATTTAATTTTTGCCGTTCTGATTTTCTATTTCATGTTTTGTGTGGTACTCAGCTTGTGCATTTAACTTCTCTTTAAGCTTCTCTTACGGCGAATATTTTTGGCAGTTCTT